ATCCTCCACCCACCTACCTCCATCAGCCCTCACTTTGTTCTCTACAGTTAAGAGTCTCTTGTGAGTTGTTTCCCTCTCTCCTCTTATGTTTCCTTCTCTCCCCATGTGTTCCTCTGTTTATTCTTCAGTTCCACAGATGAGGGAAATCATATGGTGATTGTTCTTTTCTCATTGACTTCTTTCACTCAGCATAATATATTCTAAGCCCTGTCCACATCGTTGCAAAGGGCAAGATTTTATTCTTTTTCATGACTGAGTAATATTCCATTATATGTATACACAGCCATATTCATTTTAGGAATAAATATATATAATCATGTGTTATAAGTGCTTTTATATTTATTTATTATTTCATGTAAAAGTGTAGTGTATGTGTACATTATTGGTATGTATTAAGAATGCAATTTTAATTTGGACTCACGCACACACACACTCACACTCTAGGTCCAGCAGCCGAGTGATGAGCAACGTCAGCAAAAGGCGGCACCCCCTGAGAGTCATGATATTATTCCTGATAAAGAGAAAGCAGTTGCAGAAGCACCTATGGATCATGGTGAAGGTAAAGGGGGAAAGAATGCTTACTGGGGGCACAGGGTATATATTTGTATCATGCATTATGACATAACTGGATGAAACAAAACATTAGAAGAGGATCTCAGTCATTTCCTGAAAATTCGTTGAAAAAGTAATTAGAGTATAGTTTGCAGCTCTGTTCACTCTAGTGAATTTCCCCTCGTTCCTCCAATGTAGTCCTTCCTAAATCAGGGGAACCTGTTGACTACTAACGTATACATTTCTTCAGTAGTTTAATGTGTTCTTCTCAGGACATTTTTGGGTGGCCTTGTTCTTCAGTGCATCAAACGTGTAAGCAGTTTTTAATAGTATGTGTAGAGGACCAAGTCAGCCTATCTTATAACATCTGGAATAAAGATGATTTGCATAAGGATGGTAGCCTTGTTTTATAAATAAGAAAACTAAAGTTCAGGGATTGTGTCTTGCTAAAGACTGCTTGTCACATGGAGACATAATTAAATTTCATTTCACGTTTTTTTTTTTATTACTTCCTACCATCTGTGTTTTTATACCAAAATGTGATTGGTTTGTACAAAATGCGTAATACTAAAAAATGTGTACTGTAAAATGAGCTAAGTACAGCCACAGGATAATTGAAGTTCAGTGGAGCAGGAGGTAGACTCCAGAAAAAGGCTCAAGGAATGATATCCACCGTTTCCTTTGCTGAATCATTTGATATGGTATATTTGGGGAAAGTTGGATAATTCAGGAAACTGGCGTATTGGTAAAGTATAGTAGTGTGGTTCTTAAGCGACTCTACGAGGTGGTGAAATACTTTCCTGATTAGGAAAATCAAAAGAATCTTAAAATGATCATGAAATGGAAATTAACAGCTTCCAATGCAGTATTTTCCTCAAATACTTGTAGTGAACTATGGGCGTCATTCAGGCCATGGATCATTTTAGGGATTTGTTGGGAAGAGGTTTTTACAATAGGATTGATGACAAAGTCTCTTGGCTTCCTTTCCACTCTGCTCCCTTTATTCTTACTGTTAAGATTGAAGTTTGACTATGATTCACTCATGTTTGGCTGTCATTTTTGACATTTTTTCATCTCCATGACTCATTTATCGTAAGTTATAGAGACAGACTTGGCAACTAAATCTAACTGGTTAATTTTCACAATAGAACTTTCAGGTTGCCACAACAGGGAATGGGTCTCACTAGTATAAGATTTGTCCTAGGCCCAGGAATGCACTCAGTTTATGCTTCATGAAATTAAATTTTAATTTTCATTAAAATTGTATCCAAAGTGCAGGCCCTCGGTGGCTCAGGCACTTAAGTGTCTGACTCTGGTTTTGGGCTCAGGTCTGGATTTTGGCTCACAGTTTGTGATTGAGCTACACGTAAGACTCTGCACTGGCAATGCAGAGGTGTTTGTGATTCTCTCTATCTCTCTCTCCCACTCCCTCCCTATCTGTCTCTCTCCCCCTCCCCCTCTATCTCCCTTCCTCCCTCCTTGCCTGCCCCTATGCTAGTGGCTCACTCTTTATCTCACTCTCAATGTAAATAAATAAAGTTTAAAAAGAGCTGTCCATGGTGTTAAGATTTCTTAGCTGATACCCTCACTTCTCAGTACACTGGTAATATAATGCAAATGTAGATTTAGTGTGGTTTCTTTTTAGATTGTTATTTGAAATAAGGTTTCATAATAGAGCAAAACAAAGATGTGAAGTCCTCTTTCCATCATCACTTTTTTAATTAATTAATTAATTTAATTAATTAATTAATTTAATTAATACATGAAGTCTACAGGCATGTATTTCATATAATGGAAACAATAAATATTATCATCTCGTTCCTTAGATTTTATGTTCACTCCTTAAAGTGATACCCTTTCTCTTTGAAGCACCTGACCTGGAAGCTGGTATCCAGAAATTGCCTCTGCCAAAGACTGAGGATATTAGTGAAGATGACACGGATGTGAAGGGGGCAGATTTCCCAACTGTGGAGCCCGTGAAAATGCCTGAAGCAGGTATTTTACCCCCTGGGAATGCGAAGTGTGCAGGTCTTTTCCTGAATAATATAGTTTTCATTGTGTAGATGTACCTTTACCGATAGATACTTTAATAACAGACGTTACACAGAAAGGTACTCTCACAAGTAATTCAGACCCTAACTTCTTGACTGCCTAGCTCATACCCTATCAGATACAGAATTAAATTGTGTCAAAGCTTTATTAAATTATAAAAGAGGAAAGCATTTCCTGTTTGATAAAGTGTAAATACTGGGGTGCATCAGCGGCAAGCATGACTCTTGATTTGGCTCAGGTCATGATCTCACAGTTTGTGAGATTGAGCCCCAGTGTTGACTCTATGGTGACAGCATGGAGTCTGCTTAGGACTCTCTCTCTTCCTCTCTCTCTGTCCCTCTCCCATTTGTGCTCTCGCTCTCTCTCTCAAAATATGTAAATAAACTTTTAAATAGAATAAACTTTAAATACTTTAACTGAAAGCTGATTAAATTCCAAATCTTCTCTAATTTCCTCTTTTAAGAAACACAGAATGCATTTGGAGTAAATACCAGCTGTAGGAAATATGCTGAGGCACTGAAGTAGCATCCAATACCAGCTCTAACATAAGTTGTGTGACTCTGGGAGAATCCCTTCGCTTCTGAACCCATCTTGACTCATATATTTAGTGATTTCAAGTCGGATATATTGCATTCATTTTTTATTGCTGTTTTTTGTATTCTGTGGTTCTGTTGGATACATACAGAGAATACAAAAATCGTCCATTTTGTTTGATTTATTTATCATCAAATAGCATCTTTGATCAAGTTTTAACATCTGAATTGACATTTTCGTGCCTCTGAGTACAAGAAAACACTATCTTTGATGTGGGTTTCTGTCTATGGAGACTCAGATACCTGTTCTTAAATTTTGTCAAATTGTACATTATTGTGGCTCTTACAGAACACGTGCAGTTTGAAACCTTTCCCCAATGAAGGCTCAAATGACTGAGTAATAAAATGGCAAGAGATGGTTTAGTTTCTAGTTTCTGTGGCACATCAAGTAGGGAGAGTGAATGGGTGTTCTATGTAAGTGACAAATCCCTAAATTTGACCACTAAACACAGTACTACTGCTTACAGATTAAGTAACTGGAAACTAAATTTAAAAATAAAAAATAAAACTACCTTTTAATAGGTTCATTTCGTTTCATATGTTCTGACATGAAGTGTCTTTTTCACTTCTTGTATCCATAGAAAGTGTGGAGTGTTCAAAAAATGTTGGTAAAGTGTATGCTTGGAATTCTATCTTTTAAAATGGAAACTATGCTGTCCTGTGTGTATCATTAATTTAATCTAAATAAAATTCTGATGAGTAATGTTTCCAACTCTATGTCTATCTTACAGGTGAAGGACAATCGAAGGTTTAAGCAAGATGAAGTCCAAAGCATGCAAAGTGCTCTCATATAGAAATGATACTTCACCATTAAAAATCTCTCAATAAAATCTTACAACATTCTCCAAAGACTCTTGCAGTCCCTTGTTAGACTGACTCTAAGTACTAGGTGCTGTTAACAATTGTGTCGTTTTTTGAAATGTTGTATTCTGATTCAGCTGGTAAATGCAGATAGATCTGTACATGGACACTCTCTCCAGCAGCCTTGCTACATACGATTGAATGCCAGAGGTGTACGTCAGCATCCATTATGAGTTTCAACACACACAATTCTATCATCTTTGAATAGTAACAGTTTGTTACTGCTGTTTTAATCATTATCTCCCCTCTTTGCTTTCTCACTTTACAATATTGGACAGACCCACCCAGGACAGTGCTGGAAAGAACTGATAATAGACATCCTTCTCTTATTCCTGATGGGAGTTAGACAATTTTTAACATTTGACTATATTTACTGTGACATTAAGGAAGTTCCATTCTCAGTTTAGTGTACTACAGTGTTTACGTTGAATATATGTTGCCTTTCATCAAACACGTGTAGTACATTGATTCAGATGATCATAGGATTTTTCTCCCATTAATGTGTTAATGCAATGAATTTCATACATACTTTCCTATGTTTAAATCAACCATACACTACTGGAAGGGAATGTTTATGATACATTATCTTTGTGAGTAATCTACATCATATTAGTTGGGTTAGAATTTTTATTACTATCTTCATAAGTGATATTAGCGTCTACAATTAGTTCATATACTCTCTTGGATTTTAGTATCAAGGATATACTGGCTTCATAGAATGAATTGGTATGTAAAATCTCTTTTTCTATTCTCTGGAACTGAAGACTCTGAAAGGCTGTGAGTGACTTAGGATTAGACTTTCCCTTGTTCAGCTGTGTCTGGATTGCACCTTTTTCTTGGGAACTGGACCCTGTAGAAATGGCAGGGAACCTCCAGGTCCCCATCATTTCATATTTGGTGAGGTGCCCAGCTTCCCTGCAAGTAGCCTCTAATGGTGCCATCACTCTGACAGCTACCTGCTGCAGTTTCTATGGTGTCATTCATCTTCTGTGCCCAGAAAGTTAAAAGTCACGGCTCTGTTAACTAGATACTTTGATCTGTGCTCTATCATTGTGAATAGCTGGTCTTCCACTAGGTGTGTGCACTTAGGACACTACATCCATTTATTCAGTTTTTAGAGAATAAGTTACCATAAAAATTCCTCTATTGATAACATGTGTACTATATGTTAGCAACTGCTTTCTCCAGGGTTCCTTACATTTATAAATTCATTTAGTCTTCACACAAAGGGGTGTCAGAGTGTACCCAAACATACATTTGACTCTGATAAGCAGTATATTTTGGGATTCACTTCTAAGTTAGAGCCCTTACTCTTCCTCAAAGTAAATAAATCAGAAAATGTGGGCCAGGAAACCTGATGGTGTCCATGATGCCCTGGGCCAGGCTCTGTGCTGACAGCTCAGAGCCTGGAGCCTGTTTCTTCTTCTGTGTCTCGTTCTCTCTGCCTCTCCTCTGCTCATCCTTTCTCTCCCAAAAATAAATAAATGTTAGGGGCGCCCGAGTGGCTCAGTTGGTTAACTGGCCAACTTCAGCTCAGGACATGATCTCACAGTTCGTGAGTTCGAGCTCTGCAATCGAGCTCTTTGCAGAACAGCTCAGATCCTGGAGCCTGCTTCTGCTTCTGTGTTCCCCTCTCTCTCTGCACCTCCCCTGCTCATGATCTGTCTCTCTTTCAAAAATAACTAAACGTTTAAAAATATTTAGATAAATAAACGTTTAAAAAAAGTTTTTAAGAAATTAAATATAAAAACAAATATCTCTAAAGTTATTTTGAACAATTTATACAAACAAAGACAAAGAATGACATATCAGTCCCATGGTAACAAAAAACCTCAGCTCTCCTGCAAAACTTGTTTCTTCAAACATTTTTTAAAGACATGGATGTTAGCCATTTTTTCAGGTGTGAGGGGATGTCTCATTGTAGTTTTGTGTTACCCTAATGACAAGTGGTGTTTAGCATCTTTTCATGTGTCTGTTGGCAATTTGGAGATCTTCTTTACAAATATTTCCATTCATGTCTTCTCATGTTTCAAATTGGGTTATTTGGGGGGGGGGTTGGGTGTTGAGTTTTTAAATTCTTTGTCTATTTTGGATACTGACTCATTATCAGATATGCCATTTACAAATATCTTCTCCCAATCTGTAGGTTGCCTTTTCGTTTTGTTCATGGTTTCCTTCCCTGTGCAGAAGGTTTGTATTTTGTTAAAGTCCCAGTAGTTTAGTTTTGCTTTTGTTTCCCTTGCCCCAGGAGACATATCTAGAAAGAAGTTACTACGGCAGATGTCAGAGAGGTTACTGTCTGTGTTCTCCTCTAGGATTTTGATGGTTTCAGGACTCACGTTCAGGCCTTGGATCCATTTTGAATTTAGTTTTAGTTTTTAATTTATTTAAAACAACCTAGGTAACATGAAGTATAGTCTTGGCTTCAGGAGTAGAACCCAGTGATTCATCTCTCCCATTGACGCCCAGTGCTCACCGTGAGAAGTGTCCTCCTTAATGCCCATCACCCAGTTACCCATCCTCCCACCCTCCCACCCAGCCACCCCCTCCAGCAACCCTGATTGTTCTCTGTATTTCAGAGGCACTTACGGTTTGCCTCCCTCTGTGTTTTTATCTTATTTTTGTGTATGGTGTAAGAAAGTAGACCCGTTTCGTTCTTCTGCATGCTGTTGTCCAGCTTTCCCGGCACCATTTGTTGAAGAGACTGTCTTATTCCTATTGGATATTGATTCCTGCTTTATCAAAGATGAATGGACCCTATACTTGTGGGTTCATTTGTGGGCATTTTATTCTGTTCCATCGATCTGTGTGTCTATTTTGTTGGCAGTACCATACTGTTTGGATCACCACAGCTGGGTAATACAACCGCAGGTCCAAAACAGTGATGCCTCCAGCTTTGCTTTGCTTTTTTGAGGTCGCTTTGGCTAGTCAGGGTCTTTTGTGGCTCCATACCAGCTTTACGCTGTTTGTTCTAACTCTGTGACAAATGCTGGCAGAATTTTGCTAGGGATTGCATTAAATGTGTAGATTGCTTTGGGTAGGTTTTACATTTTATCAATATTTCTTCTTCCAATCCAATGGCACGGAATGTCTTTCCATTTCTTTGTGCCATCTTCAATGCCTTTCATCATCGTTTTAGAGTTTTCAGAGTAATACAGGTATTTCACCTCTCTGGTTAGGTTTGTGACTAGGTATTTGATTGTTTTCAGTGCAGTTGTCAATGGGGTTGATCCCTTAATTTCCCATTCTGCTGCTTCACTATTGCCGCATAGAAATGCAAGAGATTTCTCTATGTTGATTTTGTATCCTGAGACTTTATTAAATTCATGTATCAGTTCTAGCAATCTTGTGCTAAACTCCATTTAGAGTTTAAAAAGAGTATCATTCTGACTGCACAAGAAACAACAGGTGTTGGTAAGGGTGTGGAGAAAGTGAAAGACCCTTGCATTCTCAGTGGGAATGCAAACTGGTGCGGCTACTCTGGAAAACACTACAGAGGCTCCTCAAAAGATTAAAAATGAAACTACCCTATTATCCAGTAATTGTATTCCTAGGTATTTACCCAAAGAATACTAAAATACCAATTCAAAGAGATATATGTTTATAACAGCATTATTTGCAATACGCAATCAATGGCAACAGCCCAACTGTCCTTTGATTGATGAATGGATAACGGCGATGTAGTATCTATATACAATGCAATAATACGCAACCATAAAGCCTAATCAAACCTTGGCATTTGGAATGACATGGATGTAGCTAGAGATTGTATGCTAGGCAAAAGAAGTCAGTCAGAGAAAGACAAATATATTATTTCACCCCTCTGTGTAAGTTTAGAAACAAAACAAATGATCATGGGGGGGATAATGAGAGGCAAACCTGAAAACAGACTTGTAACTGTAAAGAAGAAACTGATGGTTACCAGAGAGGAGGCGGGTTGGGGGATGGATTAAATAGACGATGGAGATTAAGGAGTGCTTGTGGTGATGAGCACTGGTTGATGTACGGAAGGGTTGAATCACTATATTTTACGCCTGCAAGTAATATTTCACTGCATGTTAACTATGTGGAATTTAGGTAGTTATAAACGTAAACTAAAATTAATAACTAATAAAATGCCAAAAAAAAGAAAAAAAATAAAGGTAGGGGCAGATAAGCAACAAATGCCTAGTTCCCTCTACATACACCTCTATCACCCTAACAATCCAGAATCTTGGCTCTCATATCCCTATTAATGTACACAATACAAGAGTTACATCTCTGACCACCCATTTGCATCCTCACACCCAAAACTATTCCGAAACTAAGTGCTGTGCTTAGAATTCACCATCCTTAGGGAGTGGCAGTAGGTTACAAGCAGCAAGTGTCTATTCCCTTACAGAGTATTCAAAATATCTCCTGGTGAGGTTGTGTGTGCCCGGGTGGCCTAGTTGGTTAAGCATCTGGCTCTTGGTTTCAGCTCTGGTCATGATCTCATAGTTCATGAGATCCAGCCCCATGTTGGGCTCTGTAACGACAGCGTGCAGCCTGCATAAGATTCTCTCTCTCTCTGTCTGTCTCTCTCTCTCTAAATAAATAGACATTATAATATATTTCTGGTAAAAAGGATTGAATGTCTAAGGTTCAAATTGGAAGTGAGACTAAAGGTAGGCTGTTCTGCTTTGCCACAAAATATGTGTAAGTTCTCTAGGTTGTGGAGCTAGATGATATAGTAGGGTTCAAGTAAGGAAAGGAAAAGGAACCAGGGGGCCTGGCTGAAGCACATTGACTTGGGTCCTTCCCACTGTCTCCCTATAGGCTATGGCATGAAATAACAATGGGATTGAATCCTGTCTCTGACACACACTGTGTGAATGTGGGAAAGGTATTGACATCCTTTGCGACTGTTTCCTCATATCTAATGT